TACAAGAGAGCACTCTGATCATTATTAATCCCCAAATATATTTTTTCAGTGAACAGTTTCTAAATACCTAAATGGATTTAAAATCACAAAACTTGTCAATGAAAAATATATAAAAAATAATTCTGGTACTCGAGCTTTAATTACAAAAAAAAAAGAAAATACTTCATATTCACCTCCAGCCACTACAAACAGCAGCAGGAAATCCCAGACAGCATGGCCAGCTTCAGATAGCTTCCAAAGAAGCACCGTCACACAACAGGGCTGTCATTAATGGGACAAATGGACCCAGTATACAAGGCGAAACAGGCAGAGGGACCGCTGCTGCTGCAGTGGGGGGGCGGGGCCCAATCACTGACACTCTGTAGGGAGAAACACAGGTAAGTGACCATGAACATCTGACGGGAGATGATTATCTGTGTGTGTCACTTAGCTGGTTAACAGTTCAGTCTATCCTCCCCGAGGAAGGCAGGATCCAACCAATGCACTCCCAAATGAGCTGCGGCACAGAGCCGCCCAAAGTGTCCCAGATGCAGCAACCTCAGTGAGCAGACAGGAATCTGATGCAGGTCAGGGAAGACATACAGTATCAGACAGGACAGTTCAGGAATCCAAGAATCCGCAGCCTGGTCAGGAGTTCCGGTCCACATGATCAGATGACAAGCCAAACACGAAAAACCCTCTCAACCCACTGGCCTCCAGGGATGGGAACATGAACTACAGGTGCTGGTCATAAAATTAGAATATCATGAAAAAGTAGATTGATTTCAGTAATTCCATTTAAAAAGTGAAACTTGTATATTATATTCATACATTACATACAAACTCATATATTTCAGATGTTTATTTTGTTTAATTTTGATGATTACAAATGACAACAAATGAAAATCTCAAATTCATCATATCAGAAAATTAGAATATTACTGAAGACCAATAAAAACAAAGGATTTATAGAAATGTTGGCCAACTGAAAAGTATGAACATGAAAAGTATGAGCATGTACAGCACTCAGTATTTAGTTGGGCCTCCTTTGGCCTGTATTACTGCAGCAATGCGGCGTGGCATGGAGTCGATCAGTCTGTGGCACTGCTCAGGTGTTATGATAGCCCAGGTTGCTCTAATAGTGGCTTTTAGCTCTTCTGAATTGTTGGGTCTGGTGTATTGCATCTTCTTCTTCACAATACCCCATAGATTTTCTATGGGGTTAAGGTCAGGAGAGTTTGCTGGCCAATTAAGAACAGGGATACCATGGTCCTTCAACCAGGTACTGGTAGCTTTGGCACTGTGTGCAGGTGCCAAGTCCTGTTGGAAAATGAAATCTGCATCTCCAAAAAGTTGGTCAGCTGCAGGAAGCATGAAGTGCTCTAAAACTTCCTGGTATGTGGCTGCGTTGACCCTGGACCTCAGAAAACACAATGGACCAACACCAGCAGATGACATGGCACCCCAAACCATCACTGACTGTGGAAACTTTACACTGGACTTCAAGCAACGTGGATGAAGTGCCTCTCTTCTTTTCCTCCAGACTCTGGGACCTTGATTTCCAAAGGAAATGCAAAATTTACTTTCATCAGAGAACATGACTTTGGACCACTCACCAGCAGTCCAGTCCTGTTTCTCTTTAGCCCAGGCAAGACGCTTCTGACGCTGTCTGTGGTTCAAGAGTGGCTTGACACAAGGAATGCAACAGCAGAAACCCATGTCTTTCATACGTCTGTGTGTGGTGGTTCTTGAAGCACTCACTCCAGCTGCAGTCCACTCTTTGTGAATCTCCCCCACATTTTTGAATGGGTTTTGTTTCACAATCCTCTCCAGGTCTGGGTCGTTGTTTGAATGGAGTTGCATCCGAAAGTCGAATGTGATGCTTCACAGCAGTTGTGTGTCCATAATCCAAATCATGCATGGCAAAAACATCTGACATTGAGTTGAGCTTTTCCATAATTCTCTGCCTCCATTCTTCGGAGAGAGGAGTATCAGTTAAGTCAAACTTAAGTGGGCTGTCTGTGGTGGTTTTGATGTTATCAAACTCGGCAACAGACTTTGGAGACTGAGAGCTAGTCCTTGCGTTACTACTCAAGCCTGAAGCTAAAGAGCACACTGACAAGGGGGCATACAGTTCAGCCACTGTTTGACCAGCAGGGATTCTGATTGTATGAGCACTCTCGTTCTTGACCAGAATAGTAAGCTTAAAGGAAGCCTTTGAGGGAGCTGTCATAATGTAGTTGCAAAATAGGAAACCCCCAGGCAAGCATGATGCTGTGGATTCTACTAGCAGAGGACTACCTGGGTTTATATCAACATGTCTGGCATAGCCTGTCAATACAGCTTTTTCACCAGCTGGTACTGCGACACATTTTCTGCTCAACAGCTTAACTTTTCCTGTTTTACCACTTCTCTTATCAACTTTGATTTTGTTGAATATGGTTTGGATCACTGGAATGCTGTCACAATGTCTGACACTTGTGTCTGACTCTTTGTAGGATGTGAATGTCTCATAAAGCACATCTAAAACATTTGTCCCAATGAGAACTGGAATCTCTTGGTTTGATCTGCAGTCTGGTACAGTGAGTGCTAGGGTATTCACTTCCTCAGGTCTCCCAGTAACCTCTTTTGGAAAACACAAATTGAGTTCTATGTAACCCAAGTAGGGTACTTGCTGACCCCCTGCGCCCTCTATGTCAAGCAATTTGGCCACAGACTGAATCGGGCGTGCAGGTAGGTGTAGTTTGTGAAATGTCTCTGATACTGTGGTTACCTGGGAGCCAGAATCTAGAAGACACACGCTGTGAACCCCATCAATAGTCAAGCTAGCAGTACGTTTTGACCCAACCAGGGCACTCAAAAGAGCCTCCTCCGATAATGCTGAACAGGAGTTGGTAATGTCATCTATTTGTTTCAGTCTTTTGTTCTTTTGGTTATCTTGTGCTGGCTTTGGACTTTGCTCCAAATTGGGACTAAACTCTGGTAAGGTCTCAGTGCGTCCCTCTACTGAAACCCTGTCCAGTTTAAAGCTGGGGCATATTTAGCTTGCCACTCTTGCTGTTTCGCCTTTAATTCTTTGTTCTTTTTATCAACAAGGTCTTTGTTTGGAACATTGATGCATTCTCGGGCAATGTGGTTATTTTCACCACATTTAAAACAAAACCACGCTTTTGGAGCCGATCTGTGTACAGATTGATGTGCTTGCAGTTCTGTAAAATGTGGTGGTTGAGGTTCTGAAGCACTGGCATGTTTCTGTTCATGTTTCTTCCGTCTTTGGGCTCTTTTTTCAGTTAGCTGTAATTTAAGTTCAGCCACTTGTTTCCTTAAGTTCTCAGTCTCTGTTATATATTTCTGCATTAAATCTGTGTCTTGATTAGTTGTGGGGGTGGGATCTGGAATGCCATGAAACTGGGCAAGAGGTTTTGCTTTAAACCCTCCAAGGTGACGTTGCATTCTGTCTACTTTTAGAGATCTTCTTTCTTCTTCAGTTCTTAATTCAAGAAGAAGCTCTGAAAAATTTGGGGCAGGATCATTTCTCAGTTTCTGTTGCAGGGTCAACAGTAAAGTCTGGTCCCAGCAACCACGCACAAACTGTTTGTAAAGTTGTCTATTAGCATTGGCCTCACTTACACCACCCCGTCTGATCGCAGTGCTGAGAAGTGTCTGCAGTCTCTGAATGTATTCAGATGCTTTCTCACCTGCGTCCTGATGAGTACTGAGGAACCTGGCAAAGATCTCCTCCCCGTCGTCAACAAGGCCATAGGCTGACTGGAGGAGTTTTACATAGTCTTGAGGAGGTGACTGAGAGCCTAGTTGTCTTACAATGTCTGCTGCGGGCGACAGTAAGCTCTCCAGAATCAGTCGTCGCTGCACATCCATTGTATAACCATCCTGAAACATAAGTTCAACATGTAAACACCATGTTTCAAAATCCACTTCACCAGGCGGTTTAGGAACTCTGCCTGAGAAGGAACGCAGTCTCTTGGAGCCTGGAGCTGTCGTAGCTTTACTCTTAATGACATGCTCCACTATTATTCGTTGTACATCTGGTGGGTTTAGTATGTCAGAGTCTAGGGTTGTGGCAGTGCCCTTGGCTTGTTCTTTTGGTCGTACTGCCTGTCCCTTTCTTGTCCTCTTAAGCTTCTCAGTTCCACCTTGTGATTTGGAGACAGATTTTAATGGCTTACTGGGTGGAGGTTGTGATTTTTGAGGACTGAATATAACAGATGATCCACTGCTGTCTGATTCACTTCCAGTACTATCTGAGCTACCCCGTTCATTCTGCACAGTTTTAAAGGAACATGTGGCTTCAGGGTTTTCATCAATGGCTGACTGTGATTGTGTGGGAGTGGTTAAAACCTCAACTCTGTCCAAACACCATTTTGAGACTGGGTTCTTAGGAGACTGTATCACAGAGGGGAAACTGATGAGCTTTAGCGACTCTTCTGAGTCAAACTCAACGATCACTTGAAAGTCTTTGAGTCTCACTATTTTACTGACACTACCATATAATGATACAGCCTCTACAATGTCTTCATCTGTGTCATCATCAAGTATGCCCTTCAAAAGGATTGATTTTCTGTCATTTACACCATGCTCGCTACCAATGTCAGCAACAGAAGCCATATTTTGTCTGGTTATTATCAGACAATATTTGATCACGCTGTTATTTGATCACTGTGATCAAATAACACACTGATCACTAATCAATTATTTATATTGGTTGTTTATAGCCCAAAATCCTCCTGGCTGGCTCGCCACTTATGTAACCACTAGTGTAACTTACGAATAGATAAGTTGAGAAACTTAGATTTCAATGTTGAAGTTACAGTTAGTTTATCTTTCTAAGTTCAAAAAGGAGGATAATAAGCACAAACAACCATATTATCAAGAATGAACAGATTATTTAATACAACTTGAAACAGAATGTTACTGTACAGTTCTTTTTCCCAACATAAAGAGTCCACCTTTTTTATATCAGGCAGTGTATTTTCTTTTGGTTAAGATTCCTTATAGTTCAGTTCGTCCTTTGGAAGTTTTTTCTTTTTTTTTTTAGTTCAGTAATTTAAGTCAGTCAGTCAAGTCTTTGTTAAATGGCCATGTGTTTCTTTGGATTCAAAATCTTATCTTATCCAGTGCAAAGTAGGCAGCGGATCCAGCAGTCCCAGGTCTTGGGTTGAAACCTGGAGCTCAGCAATCCAATCCAGGACTGCGATGATGTGCAGCTGGACAGTCTTCAAAGTTGAATGGGGTTCTAAAAAAAACCCACCTGCATATATATAGAACTTAATTAACTATTAAGTTTCAAAAGTATGCAGGAAGCAATAAATTCCATTTATCACAAAAATAATATTCAACTAATGGCAAGCTTGCAAAACAAACGTATCACACTGTATCCGACCTCTTAGTTTGTACATAACAAAAAATACAATACAGTGAAAATCATCATTTTAATCTCACACATTTCTCTGATTGGTTTTATTTACGTTTCTCTGTTCTTCCTTGTCGGTATATATGAGCAGTAATGCCTGTGACGCCAGTTAGCATTAGCTTGATTTCGGTTGCAAAAACACGTTACAACACTCACCAGAGAAAATCACAGTAAAAATGTGTTTTACTGCCAGGGATCAGGTCACGGATCTTCTTTTCTCTTAACCGTTACCGGAATTGATCAAGAATTTATCTTATAGCATGCAGTAATTCCCACAACCTGCTACAACCAGCTACGGTTTTCTTCTTCTTCTAATAATTTTCTGCTGTCTAAACCAGAGTGTAACTCACAAGCCACCTGCTGGTGGTTTCTGGTATGACAAGAAAACTCAAAATGAAAATATAAACTGAATTGCTGGGAACATTAAATAACAAAACAAAATCCTACAGAAATAAAATACTACTAACAGTATCACACATATACATGTGGGTTACAAAATGTAGCAGGATGTACACAACTTGGTTAAGTTCCATCTTTGCTTTTTCAGACATCTGAATACCAGTAACTTGTTGAACAAGCCAGAATTTTACAAGTCGAAAATTCCTATAAATCCCCAAGATAAAGGCTTAAATAAATGGGTGGGGATTCTTCTCTGTTTATTGTCCTTCGTTCCTGTGTTTTTTACTTACTGCTCACACAAAGGAAATTACATCCAGAAAGGAGCTGTCTTTTTATCACACACTTTGTTTATCCTCTCAAAATCCACCCAGTCACAGGCAATCCGTTTTAAAGCATTTACAACTGATAACTCAGAGTGCATGAAAATTACAACAGTATAATTATTACCAGTATAGACATGTTGGAAAGCTTAGATTCCCCACAATTCAACCACTAAGTTCATTTTATGGACACAGCAAGAACCGAAGTACAATTAACACAGATATAGAAGCATGTCAAAATGTAAACATGACAAAGTAGCCACAACAACATTCCTTTGAAGGCGTCCTGAAGCCATTTTATAAATCCAATAAATTTTTTATATTCCATTTGTCCATAAGGGTCCACAGATTATAAGTAATCCAGAATATTCATAATAAAAATGTTCCATGAAGAGAAAATTGCCTCATAACTTTGGGTTTTTGACATCAGAAAAGTTAGCTGGTTATAGCTGATGCTTAGCATCTTGCTAATATTTGCTTCCTAATACTTTTTTCCAATTTTAACCCTTGATGTTTGGTATGTTTTTTTACATCGCCTTCTTACCTACAACAGTCGCTGAAGTGCTTATTGCCTGTTAGCCAATGGCACACCGAGCAGAGCGATATTACGCTTCATAGAGTCCTGCTGTTATTGGTTAAGACCACGTGGGCTGTTGGCTTTGTAGCCAATTAAATAAGGTTTTATAAAAGGCTTAAGGCGTGTTACCAGCCTGCGTATGAGCGAAACACACAGCTGAGAGTGTATCAATTTGTGCAGTGTTACGTCCACCAAGGACACAACATATTTGAGGACACGAGACAAAAGGTGAGGGTTCAAAAAAGTTATTTTATTTATCAATTCTCTTCGATTAGTTTTTCTTGGTTCGGCTTCTTCAGATTTTCTGCGAAGAGAAAAAGAGTTAAAGGCCCTCAAATCCCGTGCCCCAAAAGGTAAAAATAGAAACCCAAAGTAACAACAGAAAGTTGGACCTGGCAGGCCGATCAAACAGAATAAAACGGTACAGCAGGGGGCCAACCCTATACAGGGCCGTCGAAGCCCCTACTGGTACCGGACTAAAGGCCAAAAATAACCTAAGCAAAAGAAAAATCGAAAACAGGACAACCGGTCCCGCCAGGCCAAAAACCTCAAGAAAAAAGTAAGAAACAGTTAACAAAAATACCGCATGGCAGGCTGGAACGTCCGCTGCAGGCCGCAGCGACAAGACAAGTGCGCACCGCGCACGATGGAACAAATGGAAGCAGGTGGAAAGCGGCGTCCAAACGAAGTTGGAAAAGGAACGCCCAACATGCTGAAAGCCAGCCTATTTATAGGCGGACGACAGCACCACAAATTAACGTAATTAACTCGCTAAAAGAATCCCAAAATATATTAACAAAAGATCCTTCAACTAAAGTCTGTAAGAAAACAAAGAAAAGAAATAGACAAAAATCCTAATGTGCCCGAAGCACATAACACCCCCACCCAAAGACTCTGAATGGGGTCTGAAGTAAAAAAAAAAACTCAACCTATTCAGAGAAAAAACGGGACTAGAGTCGCGAGAGTGCGTCGGCCACTACGTTGTCTTTACCACGAACATGCTGTATAGAGATGTTAAAGGATTGGAGTCGCAAAGACCAGTTCATCAAGCGGCGGTTTTTATTACGCATGCGAGCCAGAAAAACTAACGGATTATGGTCCGTAAAAACAACCACAGATCCGCTAGAACCTCCAACATACACCTCAAAATGTTCCAAAGCAAGGATCAACGCTAATGCCTCCTTCTCAATGGTGGAATACCATCTCTGATACTTATCCAGTTTTTTAGAAAAATAAGAAACCGGATGTTCCACCCCATCAGTACCATCCTGGAGCAGGACAGCTCCGACACCAGAATCACAAGCGTCTCCAGCCAACTTAAACGGTACATCAAAACGAGGGGCAGACAACACAGGAGCATTAACCAGCAAATGCTTAGTTTGCTCAAAAGCAGATTGACACCGATCAGACCAAATAAAAGCTAATTTAGGGCTAAGTAGGTCTGTTAACGGGGCAGCCACAGAGGAAAAGTTTTTACAAAACCCCCTGTAGTAGCCAACCATCGCCAGATAGCGGCGTAGCTCAGTACGAGTGGTGGGTACTGGGACAGAAAGAATGGCCTCTACTTTAGCCTCAACGGGGCGCACTTGACCTCCCCCCACCCTTTTTCCAAGATAGGTCACCGTCGCGTGGCCGAATTGGCATTTAGAAAGATTAACCGTCAAATTAGCCTCACTCAGACGCATAAAAACAGTTTTTAAATGGTCAACGTGCTCAGTCCAGGTAGCAGAACAAATCACCACGTCATCCAAATAAGCCTCACAGAATGATAAACCCAACAAAACAACATTCATTAGCCGTTGAAACGTCGTGGGGGCGTTACGCATCCCAAAAGCCATCACGGTGTACTGAAGGAAATCATCCGGTGTGATAAAACCGGAAATTTCCTGGGCTCTCGCCGTTAAGGGCACCTTCCAGTACCCCTTTAGCAGATCCAGCTTCGTAACGAACTGGGCAGCCCCCACATGGTCCACACAATCCTCCATACGAGGGAGTGGATAACAATCCGGCCTAGTCACCCCATTTACCTTCCGGAAGTCCGTACAAAAACGGTCCTCCCCATTGGCTTTAACAGTCAGGAGGCATGGTGAACTCCACGCACTACTGCTGGCAACAGCAAGTCCATGTTCCACCATGTACTCCACCTGCGTCTGCAAACGGCGCCGTTTGTCTGGGTTCACTCTGTACGGGTGTTGTTTAATTGGCTTGGAATCACCAACGTCAATGTCATGGCTGAGCACACGAGTCTGAGTGGGAATATCTGCAAACAGAGACCTATGAGACTGGATCAAATGAACTACATCAGCCTGTTTGGAAAAGTCAAGGTGGGACAACAAGAGAGGCAAGTTCCCCAAAACCGCTGAATTTGGAACCCTCCCTTCAGTAACAGCCGGGGAGAAAATGTCACCTGCAGGTTCAGCACCGGACAGCTCCTCCCGTGCATCTGCAGCTGCCCCGACACCTGCGTCATCTCGTTCACTGGAAACACAACTAATAGATTTATGCAGAGTGGGCACACGTTCGACGTACGGCTTCAGCATGTTCACATGACATAAGCGTGAAGTCCGCCTCCGATCAGGAGTAGAGATCAGATAGTCACGATCACCAACCTTTCTTGTGATTGTATAAGGCCCACTATAGCGCGCTTGCAAGCTGGAACCAGGAACCGGAAGTAACGCTAACACTTTCTCCCCAGGCTGAAAAACTCTCAAAACTGCCCTTCTGTCAAACAGGGACTTCATTTTAGCCTGTGCAGTTTTAAGATTCTCTTTAGCAATCTCACACGCACGGCTCAACTTCAGCCGGAAATTACTAACATAGTCTAACAAATTCTGGTCAGATTTGTCACACAACCACTTCTCTTTCAACAGCCTTAAAGGGCCGCGAACAGTGTGAGCAAAAACCAAGTCCGACGGGCTAAACCCCAGAGACTCCTGAACCACCTCCCGAATGGCAAACATTTGTAAATGTACACCTTCATCCCAGTCTTTTTCAAACTCCAAACAGTAGGTGCAAAGCATTGTTTTTAAAGTTTGATGGAAACGCTCGAGTGCGCCCTGACTCTCTGGGTGATAAGCGCTGGAATGACGGTGCTTTATGTCCAATTGACGTAAAACCTGTGCAAAAACTCTAGACATGAAATTAAACCCCTGGTCAGTCTGCACAACCCGAGGTAAACCAAACAATGAAAAAAACTTTGTCAATGCTTTAACCACTACGGGCGTAGTTATTTTACGCACCGGAAAAACCTCTGGAAAACGAGTAGAGGTGCACATCACCGTTACTAAGAACTTATTCCCCGCTTTGGTTCGAGGCAACGGACCCACACAGTCAACCAATACTCTCTCAAATGGTTCAGTGATGGCTGGGATGGGATACAAAGGAGCAGGAGAAATCGTCTGATTCGGCTTTCCAGATACTTGACAAAAGTGACACAAATTACAGTAGCGCACGACATCGCTCTTCAATCCTGGCCAAAAGAAATGACGCAAAATGCGATCATAGGTCTTTCTGATGCCAAGGTGACCCGCTAACGGATTATCATATGCCAACCGCAAAATTTCTGAACGATATGGAGATGGAACAACAATCTGCTTCACCACACTCCACTCTTCAACAGGAGACACATTCAAAGGGGTCCATTTACGCATCAGAAGACCATCATCCAAAAAATAGCCAGTAGAAATGGAGTCAGGCTTATCAGTTAATGCATCGCCGAACAATGACTCCAAACTTTTATCATTTTTTTGGAGCTCGATCAACTGCTTCCTAGACCATGATAGTGTATTCACATCCAACATGTCATCCTCCACAGTTTGCTTCAATGGAACATGTTCGGATTCAGCGTTGAACAAAAAACTTTCACTCAAGTCAAACTCATCTTTACTCTCTTCTTGATGACGTTTAAGTGCTGCACGCGTAACTGCGCATGACGTGAAAACATCTGGGAATTTACGGGCGAGCGCATCTGGACAGTCGCTCAACACCGGAACAGGTGTAACATCTAGGGTAACCAATACC